ATTCTGTGTGTATAAGCTATCAGGTCTACAGGTCTACAAATTGCTATTAGGGGCGCATGTGCACATGCACGTGGTAATTATATCATGATAATTTAGGGACCTTCCCTTTTGCCTCAAGACTCGTGCTAGCCAAATACCCCAGGCTTCACCTTATCCCAGCTTGTAACCTTAACGATCGTTGAATTATGTGGATGGTATCTATTAAGGAAGAATTCTTACTTTTGGCACATGGCTTCGAAGCCATGTATAAAGCAGCAATGAAACTAAAATATTAATTCCGGCGTTTATGGGCCACTTACTTCCTTCCTTTGTTCCCTGTGTCTTTCCTCCACGTTTACCCCGGCCGTTTTGCGGTATCTTTCATATATATGAAAGATACCCCCCTGTCACGGGGGTTGACGCCGGCCAGGTATGCTTCTCGCATGCGCAGCCGCACCTGAGTGTGCATGTATGTGTGCGCGCAACGCAGGGAGAGAATAGCGCGACGGCTCTCGGCAAATTAGCGCGACGCTAGCGTTTTGCTATCAGGGATTATAAGTGAAGTACTCTTATGCGACTGCATACCCGTAGGCGAACTACTAGTCTTAACCTTTGTTCAGTGTTGTTTCAATCTTTCCACAATTGTCTCCCTCTTGCAGACTTTCTTCGGTCCCTGAATACCGCATTGCACCATAACTTCAACTGAACAGGGTTATTTTAAACGTCGACGATGGACGAAAAAACCAAAGTTTCCTTCACAGACTTAGTACGTTAAATTTATATTCTATTGTTGTAGGGTCTTAATGACAAGATTATCTCTGCCTGTGAAAATTTGAACTGGCGAGTGCCAACAGAAATTCAGGCAGCGGTTATTCCTCACGCTCTAGCAGGTGGGTCTTTTGAGATTTTTTCGAGCGATTTCCTCAGGAAGAAATTTGATCGGCCTAGCGGAAACTGGCTCAGGCAAAACGGCAGCCTATGCGCTCCCAATTTTACAGGTTCGACTTTTCATTTCGTTGAATGAGTCTTCAGTCACTAATAAACGATCCCAAGAATTATTTTGCACTTGTTATGGCACCAACTCGTGAACTCGCAGCACAAGTACAGGCACAGTTTGCAGCCCTAGGCAAACTCATTGGTCTTCGAACGTCCCTCCTTGTGGGTGGATCACCAATTGTTGAACAAGCTAATCAACTCAATATGAAACCGCCGCACATTATAATCGGTAAGCCTACGTGACTGCATTATACTTCAGTTAGTTTTCGAGATTCTAAATCCGGCACAAAGTCAATCCTGCAGAATTTTCTCCATTTAAATATCGGTCGTTTTTCCCACGGTTTTTTATATTCCCTCTCCCACGTGCGTACTGTTTGCCTTAACAGTTCTTTGATAAATACTAAGTTAGAACAAAGCTATTCACAGAGGAGGAGCCTGGCCTAGAGCCTAGAGCCCAAACCAAGTTATACTTCGAGCCTGTCTACTCGTCAAAAGCGTCGGCGGCCGGAGCCACCTCGAACACAGGCAACGTTGACTATCAGCTAAACAGAGATCCAATCTTGTCGGTGATGCGTGGTTTAACAGAACTTATTACAAAAGAATTTGGAGACTATGCTCCATCTCCAGTCAGCTATTTTCGGCTGAAGACACCAGGTATAGTCAGCACCTGCGTTAATGCAGCAATCTGGTTTAGGTTTAGTTGACACTGTCTGAACACGTGAGGCGGTGGATGTGCTTTTCTGTAGGTTGATCCGTATACCTTTTAGTTCTACGATAAAAATAGTTGACTGTATGCACAGCGGCCTCCGTTACATACTTAGGGAAACCAACACACTTGTTAACTTTGTCATTAAATTATCTCGCAAAACACGGTGGCATACTATAAGAATCCTGAATCCTGTCTGCGATCCGTCATAGGAAGCTTTTTTATGCACTACCATTGTCCAACTTCGAATCGCCTATCCTAAAAGCGTTGTTACTGCTGACAGCAGGCCGGCTAGATCAGGCGGTATTACAGCCGTACAAGTAAGTACAGCGCCACTTAAAATGCAGTGCATTACCGCTCGTCGAAGCCTAACTGCGGTTTTCGCGTTTTCCATGCGAGGGCCTGGAATGCTATCGCAGTCATCTGCTATTGGCGCCTGTGTGGTAGACGTTACCGACTATGCGGCCTATGATCTACAATTACACCTAGAGTCGCAGGAAAAATAGAAATAGTCCTGTGCTAATACTTGTATTATGAAGTTCCGTTACATATGCTATGCGAGTTCTCAAATCCCAGAAAACATAGGTAGTGTCTTCTTCAGTCCAAGTGGATTTGGTGGTTACTCTCTTAAACGCCGGGAGTAGCTCATCCACGATGTCACTTGGCTAGATCTTGTTCGAGTTGGCGCCGTCATAGTTGTGACCAACCATATATGTGGTTGTCCTGATGGCCAGGTATGGATAAATGCTGAGCCCATCGATCTTGGATGCTTGGATATGGAGCGCCACCCAGGCAACAAATGCTGACCAACTAACCATTATGTATAGGCTACGAGTCTCAATATATCTTGGGGCCGCGCCCATTGAACCGACTAATCTAACGTCCATGTTGGACCTTGATTTCCTCCGTGTGAATTCCAGCCATTTGGTGCGCCCTTCACGCCAGGCGGGGACTGGGATAATAGGTGTTCTGGGTGTTTGCATTCATGTCATGTCCGCCTTTTTCCCCTCCTCCCTGCACCATTTCGTTCTTACTTTTTCTTTGGCCGTTTGTTAGAATTTTTGAACCAAGATACTATTATTATTATATATCCTAAAAGCTTCACCGCGTGAGATTGTTGGGCAGTCCTGCGTAAGCTACCTTCAAAAGCAATGTGCATGATAGGTCTCTGCTTTCAAAATTTGCCCAAGTGAACTGCTTATCAAGTTAACTACCGTTGTCAAAGTGTCAGGAGCTTCGCACGAAAGTATAGCCAATCAGGTGTTCTGCCTTTCCGCAGTCCTTCCGTACCGCCGTGGATATCCGCACTGATTAGTGTTCCACTCGCAGTTATGCTCAAACATCAAAGGTATTATGCCCAGAAAGTTTCTGAGGAGACCGAATTTGCTAGAATTACTCGTAAGCCAGAATGCTTCTTAGATCAGAAGGTTGTGTGTTGCAGTGGTTATATCACGTTACAATACGTACAGACTACTCTTTATCTTTAATCCACGCGAATGACGGCTTTACACTATCTGCAGACTTTCATCTGATTTGCTGATACTGGTTAGCTTAAACGTACCCAATATGTCGTGTAGGTTTGTTTAGTAATGATTATTAATTTTGAAACAAACCTACACGACACATGAGATATGCGTCAAGTAACCGATTTCACACGATCAAATGAAACTCCGCGGAAAATGCAAAACAGGACTTCACGTGCATCGTTGCTAGCCGTTTGAGGTTCTGAGGGCTCGAAAGCCCAACAAAGCGAGATTTTGGTCGATTCGATTGCAAATCACAAGGGAATGGACAAACAGCTTGTCAAGAACCCAAACCACCTCTTTTTAATTACGGATGCAACAGTAGCCTATTTTTCTATGCTTTATTACCTCCGCTGTCTTAAAACAGTCTGGTAATCATTTTCCTGGGTGCTCATGTATATTCTAAATATTGAGGACACACCCAAGCCAAATTTGCGTCACCAGATAAATCAAATAGCAGTTTTTCTGAATTTCGGGTTTAGCTATAAGGTGCTATTTTACTCCCGTTTTTCAATTGTGCTCGGTCATGTTAATAACATCAGTCTCTGATTTCAACTCGATGTTCTGTTTTATTGTCAGTGTAGTACACCTGCGTTGTGAATGCTTTTTGCATTTCTTTCAGCCACCCCTGGACGTTTTGTTGACCACTTAAAACGCACAAAGGGCTTCGATGAGATGAAATTGCAAAATCTAAAATTCTTGGTCATTGATGAGGCCGACCGCATGCTTGGTTCTGATTTCGACTCTGTACTCGAAAAGGTCCTCGTCGTACTGCCTACGAAGCGCCAGACATTCCTGTTTTCGGCAACGATGACCGAAAAGGTGAGTCTGTGCGAAAGTTCTCCACAACGTGAACATTTCTCAATATGGCTTTCTGATGTGGGAGTACTGAAAAAGTTGCGCGGAATATTTGGTCACAGCCGCGTCACGTCGGTGCTCAACCCCGTGCATGGTATCATAAACAGTTACTGTTTATTTGCAAGTAGCAATGTTTTCTGAGTCTCGAGCGACTAAGAGATGGTTGCACTACCAGCGTGTTTGGCTACTTGCGTGCCTAACAGACTGGCGCACGCAATTTTCAAAATACTGATATCTTATACCATTGATCAAAATGCAAAACTACAGGAAATGGTTCTGAATTTTAAACCACGATAACTTTATCTGCGTCTCGTGCAAACGGTAGCTAACTTCAAAAACTAAAAAAGGTTCTACAGCTGTGCAAATGCGACCGCAACAACGAGGTGTTAGCTTTTCCTCAAACCAAAGTTGCGCAAATATAAGTGATTTCCATCAAATCCTTTAATTTATTTTTCAAACTCCCATGCTCCATGCTTTAAGTGACTGTCTTATTTCATTTTTTACTGCATCTCACTTATTTTGGAATCAACGAATGTAGCTTGCTTCTGCAGCACATATGTCTGTGAAATGTATTGAAGCTGCCCTGTCTTATAAACCTCTACCGTACATTGCTTGCTACGCAGGTGGGCAAACTTCAACGGGCTTCTCTGCGTGATCCCGTAAAGATCTCCACTCGAAAGAGCAAATTTCAGTCAGTCGCGGGTCTCCGGCAATATGTACAGTTAGTGCCCCAGTCGGACCTTGACGCCTACCTGGTCTTCCTTCTACGAATTGCCTTCTGTATCACACCGCCCATCGAAGGTCTCGAGACTCTGCGGCTCTCAGAGCTTCCTGACCAAAGCCAAGAAGACCCCGAATCTCGGTAAGTTTCGTCGCATGTCTGCCATACTTTTATCCGTTTGCTGGATGCGGCGGATTACTCTTAATTATTATGAACGTTCTTGTCATTTGAAACATTCTACCTTCTAAATTGCATACACAAACGAAACTAGCTCGATCGTGTCAGTATTGTTGCCGTCTGATGCACGTTGTCCATAACCGACAGCTTCGGCGACAACATCACACATCTAATCGCGGATCTGCCAAGGTTTGTTATTAGATCATCGGAAGATTTAATATCTAAAAGTAAAGTTGACATCAGAAGAACAGCACTACCCCCACTTCAGCGTTTCTATTCAATGATCTGAAGACATAATTGGACCAGCCAGTGTTCATCTATCACTTGTCACTTTGGGAGTTGTAGACTTTATTTGTTTCTTTGATGTATGCGACAGTGGCCGCATTCGAGCACTTCTTGGAGATTTCTATTATAAGTACATATCGACTTACCAAACCGCTGGTTAAAGCCATCTCCCAACTTTGTCCCAAAGAAACATAAGTGTATTCGTGGCTGTGAATTAAATCGGTCTGGTAGCCATTGCTAGTATACAGCACCAGATGTTCAAAAAGCGTTGGAGCCCCACGGCAGAACAGAGCGAGTAAATCCTGTAAACGATCGGTGAGCCGTCCACCCGCCAATACTACTACTACTACTACCGCTATTAGTAGTAGTAGTACTACTACTACTACTGTCACTGCTGCAGCCAGGGAAGCCAGGATCAAATACTGCTCCGTTATCCTGTATATCCCCTTCGTAGTTCTCTTAATTTACCTCTATCACTGATCGTACTTCGCTCAAAAACTTGTCCTACTTGTTGTAATAACTTCCCAAGCTAGGTTTGTGCCACCCCAGTCTCTTTGTGTCAGTCCAACAAGGAGAACAACGAACAAGGTCGTAAAGGAAAGGA